TGGATAAGTCACATGAAGAGTTTCCCAAAGAATTGATGGAGGACTGGAGCACGATGGAGGTGTGTGTGGACTGCAAGAAGTTTATTTCAGAAATCATCAATTCAAGCCGGCGCAGCCTATCTCTGGCCAACAAGCGAGCCAGGTTAAAAAGGAAAACACAGTCCTTCTACATGTCATCGCCGGGAACCTCTGAATACTGCCCCTCTGAAAGGACTATCAATGAGATCTGAGCCTTGTGCCTTTTTCTTTGCTTCTGTCTGCGTGAGCTCATCATCCACAGGCAAGGTCACTGAAACTGGATTACCATTCCGTTGCTTCGTTTCACTTGACTGGCTTGAATTTGCATTAGATCACAGGATTTCCTACTCTCATGGTTTGCAGAGACAAGAACACGATGTTTAGATCTGTGCAGAATGATACGCAACGGGTCAGCTGTTCGCACTGGAAGAAAATCAATAGTTTGAAATTGTTGCCTCTTTTGTATGTGTGTGTTAAAACTAGAAAGCCTTTTCTTGCTTTCAGTCTTTTTTTAACCATGCTTTGAATCATTTTTCAGGAGATGAGCTGAAAACTATGTTTAATGGAGAACCAAATCTAATGAAGTGTCAGTGTTAGCACAGTAGCAAACAGTAAGTCATATTGGCATTACCACCCTAGTAATGCTCACATCCTAGTTGAAACAGCAGAGGGTTGTATCCCACACCAGACACCGAGTGTGAGCGACTGTGGTCAAAACTATCTTTGAACTGTTTCGGTTGCTCTGAGGTCAGGGTTCAGCACAGGACTCTACAAACCTGTGTCCTGGGGCAAAATACGCGACAAAGCTCTTCACCCGTGTGGTTGGCCATTCCCCTGAGCTGCTGTACTTTTTAAGCCTTAGTGTACTTCTAAGTGTCTCCTGAGCAGGTTTTAGTAGTTTACTTTCTATCTTGAATGTATGATGATGACTACTAGTAGCAGTGAATTTTAGCAGTAGACAGAGTTGTACAGTTTATGGGGAGGATGGGAATAAGGGAGGCTTCTCATTTTAGCTGATTACCTATAAAGTTGTTCTCGTGGTTACTCAGAGAAAACGGTGGGTAAGATGTACATTTGTATTATAGTGGAGCACACAAATACTGCTATAGTTATGTCTGACAGCATATCCACTGATAACCCCATTTTTTCTGGGGTTTATAACTTGGCTGTAAAAATTCGTGTTCTGCTGAAATTTGGGACAGTGATGTCTCAGATTGGGAGCAATCTCTGTTTTCTTCTTTAATCGTTTTTCATTGTTTTACCCCTTTTAATTTACTCATGAAAGAGTGCTAGACTAGTTGTTTAGAAGTTCCAACAATGTTACAATGTTAACTGACATCTCATGCTTTTTTGCACTTTTTTTATATTCAAAATTCTTTTTTTTAAATTCAGGCATAGCCAGAGTTTAGTCAATAATTTGAGGCCAGATCATTTTGGTGTTTAAAAACAAGCTAACATAGCCAAGTTAATAATACTTGAAAATCAACTACTGTAACTTTTTCATAAATTTTTAATACCCTAAGGCATATTTAATATCTATATAGCAGTGTATTATAGAATGACATAGCAGAAAAGTTTCAGATCTATTTATTAACATTTCTATACTTTGGATTAATGAGAGATACCTCAGAACTGCTCCAAAGTAGCTGGGACTGGATTTCTGTAACATGATTTTAAAGATGTATTAATCAAAACAAATTCTCTTGCCCAAATCTCGTGCATTGAAGAGCCCAAGAGAAGGCAGACTGCCCTGGTAAGGCACGGTGTGGGGGCCGCGGTGCACCGGGGGTGGTTGGCTCCCTCGCAGTCGCTGAGCTCCAGTCCCACTGTGGGCTGCCTCCTGCTGCCCGGGGGAACAAGGTTTCCCCTTCAAAATGTATTTGCATGTTACATTGCAACCTTCGGAGCAGTCACTCATGTCCTCTTTTAAGTTAATTTGAAAAGCACACACAGAAGTCGTCTTAAACCTTCCCAGGGACTCATCCATCCTTTTTTTTCTTTAAACACCCCCTTGGAAAATGATAATTTTTGCATACGCAGGGTTTGTTGAAATAATGTTTTTAATTTTTCTGAACCAATGCAAACAGGAAAAGCAGGGCTCAAGGCTAACTCCCTCATAGCTGTCCCGTGTAAGGTCAGCTGTCATGGCCCTCTCCTCGGGGTACCTCTGGAATAGTGTCTTGCATGTTAAAGCACCTGGCATACTGGCGTATGATGATTATGTAGGACTGCAGGGGGTGAGTGGCACAGACAGGCTGATTTGAAAGGTCTCCTGTTGCTGGAAGAGTCGCCTGATCTCAAGTCACATCAGCACTTTTTCTTGTTTCTGTGCCAAAACCAGGCCGTGTGTTTGCTGCACAGTGCATCAGGAAAACTAGACTGAAAGAAACACAGGAAATCTCTTGCACCTTTGCATCTCCCCTGTTGCTGTTATCATTTTCTCCTGGAAATGCCCCAGCCACACGTTACAATCACTCAGTCCTCTGCTCACAGTCCTCTTCCCTGACATCCTCAAGCCACTGAGGTGCAGGATATCCAGCACAGTTATTTCCCCTTTGAGAGGTATTTAGGGTGTTGCAGGATCAAGGACTAAGGAAATTCTGAGTGTGCAAAGGCAAATGAGTCCCTCACGGCCCAGCTGTGCCCCCCTTGGCTGTGGCAGTGCCCGAGGCAGCTCTGGGGAGGAGGCAGAGCTTCGCCATCCGGCTTTGCCTTCCCGGGGTGCCCAGCAGCCCTTGGCTCAGGGCCGGGCAGGGCACAAACGCTGAACAACAACGTGGTGGTTGTAAAACCACTCTGTTGTTCACGCAGAGCTGCCATGAGACAGGGCCTGAATAACCTCCCTTTTCTCTTGGGGAAAAACTCTCCAGGCTGCTGACACACGCTGTGGCAGGCTTCAGAAAACGTGGTGTGAAGGGCTGGCTCTCCCCTTCCCTCCCATCCCTTCCTCTCTGGCACAGTTGCTCCACATTATCCTGGCATTTCATTCCGCAGAAGAAAAAGCAGCGGGTTGGTTTGTCACACAAAGCCTGAAGGAGCTCATCTCGCTGGTTGCTTGGCGCTCTGTGGAGCGGGCTATTTTTAGCTTTCCATCTCGCCGCTTGCGCTAGCATCCCAAATCCACTGCAGCCGTTTGCCTGCGCGCCCCGCGGCGCTGCCCGCCATGTCCTATTTGCAGTCAGAACTTCGCATTGGCGTCAGAGGATGAAATCAGAAGCTTGTAAATATGTGTAATATATTTATTAAAATTTAGGAAGTCTCCATCAATCATGCAGTGGGAATTGATTTTCCCAGGATGTTTTAAAAAGGAAATGAGTCTTATTGATGTGTTTGTTGGCTATTATCTTTATTAGAGTTAATGCTTTCAGCCCCCTAATACAGTTTGCACTCCATAAGTATTTTAGAGTGAATTACTGCTGCAAAGAATGTGGGATTCACACAGTGAGCTCCCTCCCATGAATTTTAAAAATACTTTAATTTTTTTTTAGCTTTATTAATGTGCCCAAGGTCTGTTTAAATATATCGTAGGAGACCCAAGGAGATAAAGATGGCAGCATCGGTCTTGTTTTGTACGTGAACCCGGTTGTGGAGAATTCAAATCCAAGCTCTGCCTCAGAGTGGCGATGGAAGAAGCGAGCAGGCCTCTGCTGCAGTTCTCAAACCTTACCTTTTAAATGATCCTGGTGAAAGTAGTGCTTTGGGGGTTTGGTGTTTTTTTTTCCCTTTCCCCATGACTTCCTTTATACAGGGAAGGGTGTTACCTGGTGAAAATAAAATGCCTGTTATAGCCCTTGTCTGTGTTAATTATTTGTGTGGAAGCTGATTTAAAGGTTCTGTGTGTCTCCTTTTTTTCATGCTTTTATAGTTTTGTAAGATCAGTCAGATGTTTCTTTTGGCAAAGAATTGTTAATGAAAATGATTGAATAACAGCTGTGCAGTGGCTGGGCTGCATGAAGGGATGGAAACATGTTGAAGTACTCTTAGAATAGCAATAAAACTGCTTGTGTAACCCCAGTGATGTGATTAGCTCCTAGTCAGCATTTCCAGCCACCTCCCTCTGTTACCAACCGGGTGTTGCTGCTTCCACCACCGATGGTCGGTAGCTGAGGGGCACTTGTCCTATGTGTAGTACAGGCTTTGGGAAATCGCCATCCCTCATCTTTGGGAGAGAAATGTTGGCAGTCTCTTGGGGAGGTTTTTTGACTGATTGCTTTTAAGTTTTTAAACCAGAAGTGGAGAGAACATTTTTATCACCACTATTGTGTTGTTCTCTCCTCTCTTTCAAGCTCCTCTTTTTCCCCAGGCAAGTTCAGCATCGGCTTCCAGGGGTAGTTAATGGCTGCATGCTCTGTAGGTTAAAACTAATATAAAAGCTCCAACTTTAGACTCCTGCTGGCTACCGCCATGCTTTACCTCATCCAGCAGCTCTGTACATCTTTTAGGAATGTTTCTTACGAGCTCAGTCTCATCTGTGAAACAGTCACAGCACACAGGCATGAGGGAAAGGTGCTGCGACTGTATGCTCTGGTGCTACAGCATATGGATTATGTTAATGTTACCATAAAATTTTATAGTATTTCCATGTTGGTAACTTGGAGCTTCTTTTGTACGTATGTATCTTAAGGCCAATCTGAGAATGTTTATGAATATTGATTCCATCTATAAAGATCTGTTTTATTGTTTCTGTCTGATTTTTACTACTGTATTTCAGATTTTTTGGGGTACCTGAAATTACTACTCACCAGAATTTCCTGGTAGAAGAACCACAAGAGGGGCATTAGCTCAGTCTGACATGATACGCAAAGACACAGAACCCTTTTCCTGAAACGTAAGCCCAAGTTTATGAGCGTTGTCCCTGTGGCAACTCAGTTGAGTCCAGTGCTGCAGTCCCCTCCCACTGGGAGAGCTGGTGCAAGCTCCCGTGGGCCAGGGTGGGCGCTGGGCAGCACCCACGGGCTCTGGCAGCCCAAAGCAAGGGGAGACCACTGCCCTCCCTGCACCCTAGGCTCGACGTATTCTGGAGCTGCTCTTGCTGCTTAGTTGACCTGGCACAAGCTGTGAGCCTTCCCCTGCCCCAGGGTCCCCTTCTGCAAAAACAGTAACTAAAATGTAGTTATACCACCTTAAAGAATTTTGTGAATTGCTGCCAGAGGTGAGTGCTCAGTGTCTGAGCTGATAGGATCCTGCACTGCAAGTTTCCATCAGCTTTCTGTACTTCAAAAGCAGTTAGCACCACTTCCAGCAGCACTGAATTCCAGAGAGTTGAAACATTACAACACTAACAAGCAGAACTTTGTGAATGAATTCTACCATGGTAGTCCACACTCAACAAGTGTCATAAGGCATACTCAGGAGCTGGAGCCACATAGCAAATAGACACAGCAAATTTTACGTGATGGTAGCTTCACCTGTTTATTTGCACTGAGCTGCAATTCAGTAACTTTCCTGTTTCTCCTGGGGCCAGGCTGTTCTGCAGTGGCAGTGCCTGGCCGCACCGTGTCAGGTACGCAGGGAGCCTGGGCCCTCTCTCTGAAATAAGACAGAAGCTGCTGCTGTCTGCAAAGGTCATCATAATGGTTTTTGTAGAACAGTTCTAGAGGAAGCCATGTGGAACAGGCCTTTTTATAGCTAATAAAAATAAACATTTTTAAGTAGATAAGTCTTTCAAGGTGCCATGCTATCTAATGTATAGTCACAACTGGAAAAGACCTGTTTCATTAACCAATTTATTTAAAAAAACCTGGCAAGAGTGAGAAGGGGAGAATCCAGTATGAAAAAATACATTCTTGGTGCTTCCTATACAGTTGTAGCACATACGTTAAGCTACGGGTTCTCCCAGTGTTTCTCTAACCAGTGAGGCCAGTGCTCAGCCATGGGAGCCAGCAGTGCTTCAGCTTTTCTAGGACAGGCTGTAGGCCAAACATTGCAGTGTAGGATGGTTAAACTGGATTTCAGGATCTGCTAAATCTAGAAATAAAGGATGTGGGCCTGAGTTGGTGCAACTTCTGCAGGAGGTTGGCTTCCAAAGGCTGGTGGAAATAAGCACCAGTTAAGTTGACACATATATAGAGAGGCTACATTCTCAGGGCCCATCTTACAGGGCAGGTAGCGGCCAAGGCCCAGCTTTGGCTGAGACATTTAAGATGGGCCCATTTCTATTGAAGGGGCTGGTGGTTACAGTACCTGTGAATTAGAAAGTGAAATGAAGATACAATGAGGAGTGTATTTGAGCTGTATTTCTGTTAAAGCTGGTTCCCCTTTCCCAATCCCCTCTTTTAATAAAGGGGGGAAAAAAAAAAATCCCAAACAGGAGATGCACTTTTGGGACATTAACAGGCCCAAAGCACAAACCCTTCCCCTTTAAACTTCTGCTTCTGTGCTGTCACTGCGCATGTACCATCTGTGCGCCTTCAGGTACACCCGGGGCATCAGCTCTAACAGAGAAAGACAATAGAATTGTCTTCTGCTTGTTTTCATGTTATGTGGTACTGCAATGCAATTCCTTGTTTATGGTTACTAATAAAAAGTTCTTTAAAATGACATTGCGTTGCTCTTGCTTTCTTGAGCTAACGGTAAGGATGGCGAGCGTCATTTCTTACACAGCATAGCTGGTTCCACCTTTGCTTGGTCAGGCAGAGTGCTTACTGATGATTTTACTTGCCTTCCAATCAAATGAGAATCATACCTCAGTCACCTCAGCTGTGGAAAAATTAAGAGGACAGGACTTGTGCTTCACAAAAATGCCTTTTCATCAAACAAATTCATAGCAAAATCATGACCCACTTCCTGGAGCGGCAATTAAAAGGCCAGACCATAACCTGCATGATTCTGACTGGTGTCAAGTAGTGTTGGTGGGGTAAGAACATAATTTATTAGATAAATAAGGTCTTGTTTATAAGTCACAGTTAATAGCTGTAGATGACTCCTGTTTTACTGCAGAATGAAGCAGCTGCCAGCACCTGCTGGAGTTACCAGCTGAGGGACAGAGGAGCCCTGCAGAGCTTTCTACCAGTAATGCATGTGGCTCACGGCAAGTTCCAGGGAGCCTGGTACCCAGGTCCTGCTGATTACCCAGCACAGACTAACACAAATAATTTTTCTGCAGCCTTCTCTGAAAACCAGCAGGCCATTTTATATGACAGCAGTTACACCCAGAATTTTTTTTTAAACTGAGGATGTAATTTATTTAAGATAGCACCACAGTGTACACAGACACTTTACAGAGTCCTGCCCTTCACAGCTTACAATCTAGGAAGATGCAAGAATAGGAACGGTGTTACCCACTGCTCCACCTGAGGAGTTAAATGAGACATGTCACATCAAGGAATGTCACTGGTGATCCTACTCTGTGCTATTTTATTACATCATCAGATACATCGATGCCTGATATGTGCTATCCATCAATACATGCTTAGTGCTGCAGTTCAGTGCCTTTACTTGCATTAGGCAAGTCTGTCAAGAATACTGCAACTGGCACTAGGATTGCCCGTTTTCCCAACAGGTATGACCCTTCCCCCCTTGTGCCTGCTGACCTGACAGGGGAAAAGTAGTATGGAGGACTCACACTGGCACAAGGGCAAGTCAGTAAAAAAACCCTAATTTTAAAAAGAGGGATAGTCTACACAAAACCCATTACACACAAGACCATTTGATGAGCCTGTCTGCACTAGCACAAAAAATAGACATCAACCAGAAACCAGTTTATCTCTAGTTCGGTATCTTCAACATCTTGAGACCCTCCAGGGTTACCTGCCCACTTGGCCACGCTCTGGGAACCACTGCTGCCATCTTCCCTCTCTGCTTCCCCCGCAGCTGGGAACCAGCTCTCCCCAGCTTCAGCCTTCCGCAGCAGGCAGGTGCCGTGCAGCTGGAGTTACTGGGCAGGCTGAGCAGCCATGCTCCTAACCAGTCTGGAGACCTGATACACTGGCACTAAATCCTTAAAACCAAACCACCTCCCTACACACTCATCCCCCACTTTTCCATGAACTCCAACATAATGGCTCAGAAACACCCAGCTGCAAGCCTCGGTGGCTTGAACAGCAGCAGCAGCAAACAATCTTCCTCCCCAACACAAAATGTTACTTTTATGCTATTTCCAACCCTCAAAGCACAGAATCCTTATTCAAAATGGCACTCACTACCCGTTAATCATCACGGTTACAAATGCTGAGCTTGCTTCTGCTTGGTCCCCAGCACTTCAAGAGCCTTCCAAGTTAATGAGTGTTGACTTAATGCTATTTCTTCTTTAGAATTTATTTTCCTCCTACATATGTGGCTGTTTCTACACCAATCAAAAAAGCTACACCCCCGCTGCTCCTGCAAGCAGCCTAATGCTTGCCCTCACATGTGGCTTTTTGTCTTTAACAGTCACCTCAGTCAATGCCTGTGACATAAAACTGACTTTAGAAATAATATTTAATAATTTCCATTAATGAAAGAAAAGATGGGGAGTTTCCATAGGGAAGGAACAAGATAAGCAATTCTAAAGGTAGGGTTGTTTTGCTCCAAGGGTCAGCTCAGACTCTAACAGTGACAGACCTGGAGTGGGAAATGGGGTGCTTCGAAAGCAGGGTTACACACAGCAGGGCAGAACATAGAGCTACAGATCCCAGGAAGAAGAGTCACATGGTCAAGAGAGGAGAATGGTGGGAGCCCCTGTATGCAAATGAGATGGGCAGAAAGGAAAAGAGGGAAAGTGTCCAGGAAAGTTTTGAGAAATTACGAATCACTTCATCTGCTAAACAGTGGCCCCACTGTGACCGCTGCCTGCAAGATCCTTCATACACACTGGCAAAACGACCAACCACAGGAAGATCACTAAGCCCAGGGATGCAGGAGTGTCACCTACCCCAAAGACAAGGTGAGAAGTGGCAGGAGTGTCCAGCAGTAGAGGCGCAGCTGGGTGATGGAAATGGCCTCTGAAGAGATTAGACTTTTTTTCTTACCCAAAGCTTCCCCACTCCCATTTAGCCTAGAGAAAATCAGAAGAGGACTGAGCAGAAGCAGGCAAGCTGATGATCTGCAGCAAGTGGAGCAGCAAACAGCCTGGAAACCAGAGCACCTAGCCACAGAGTTCACAAACATCATGGAATGTGGAGAGGAAGCAGCCCAGAACCGGTAGGGAATGAAACAGAAAGGAGATGCTGCAACATCAGCAGATAAGGATTTGTTTCTAAAAGCAGGAACAAAGTTCTAAGAAAGTAATCCAGAAAATTGATGCATAACTGGTACTGACCCTAAGGTGCAGCAGAGGAGTTCAGCCCTGACAGAATACAGGAACCAGGGGTGTCTTTTCTGGGACACCAGCCAGTGCTGGAAGGTGCTATCCACAAGTCAGTCTGCTTTAAGTCAACACTACACAATTACTTCAAATCTGATGCAAGCAGCAGCTTTAGACAATCTTTTTCCAAACTGAAGCAATACATAAGCCTCCCCAAAGACTTTTCTATCCCCCCACCAGTTATGTTTTCATCACTTCCAGTAGGCTCGTATGGAAATGCTGTAGTACAGGTTTACACACACACATGCACTTACTCATCTTTCCCTTTCATTAGCAGAGCTCTGCCAGAGCTGTGCTCCCCTTCCTAGCAGGACGCCACCAGGAGCCAGAACATCTCCTGCATTCTTTATCCAGGAATTGGCATCACTCCTCTGAGAAGCACAAATGACCTGCACCAAAGTTCTCCAGTGAATCTTCCTGAAGGGAGCTGCTATCAGACTTTAAGCTCAAAGTTTCTGTTCCAAATTAAGAAAGGCTTTAGGTCCATATAAAAAGAGTAATGTAAATATTAGCTACTCATGTAATTGCTTTTGACAAATATATATATATATATATATATATATATAAAAATTAAGTTTATTCATTAGGATCATATAATTTAGTGAGTCTATAGTTACACCCAAATTAATGTTCACTTTCAAACTAACCAGAATACAAATGCTGAAATTTCCCTTAAGCTACAGACACTTTAAAATTACCAGATCAAAACAGTGACCAACACTTTTATAGTTTTTCAGAAGTTACTCATGCTCTTAACAGCTTCCTAGACACATGCTTGCCACTTGAACGAGTAAACATCCTTGGAACATTTATTTCGCTTTGTGTGCACACCCAAAAATAAGTTTAAATGTCCTAATGGGACTAAGAAATGTATACTACACCTGGACCAAATATGAAAATTTTGTGAACATCAGACAAGGCTAGGACTGTTACCAGTATATATTTATGCACATTTTATAGAAAGCAATTTCTGCAGTTACTGGAGTATTCTTCCAGCTAATGAGAAACATTTAAAATTATCCTAAAACCATTTTGTACCAACGTGGAAAAGTGCTGAAAAAATTCAGTTACACTGGTAGTCAGTAGAAAGCATTCAAGAAGGATAGTCCATTTGTTCCTCTTGTAATCTTGTTTTCTCCATTCAGGGCATCAAAAGCACATGTTCATGAAACCTCACCATTTGGATTTCAAATTTCCTGCTTATTTCACGTTTCAACTCTTCTGGTTGTTGCATCACTCTCTCCCTCAGTTAAGACACGATGTGAAGAGCAAGGACCAGTGGAACAGCACAGTCTCTTCATTAGAGTAGCCTACAAGTATCCTTCTTTGGAGATAAATAAGGTAAGTATTTTCCAGCACCTTCCAGGAATTACTACTCCTCTCCCCACTGGAAGGGGAGAAACTAGGGCAAGTTAATAAATATGAAAATAAATTATACCTTTCTCCCCACCAAAAAACTGTATTAGGCTATTAACATCAGTAGAAACTTTATCTTTGTTTGGATACAAACATCTAAGAGGTAAAGGATCAGTGTGTCATGGTCAGGCAGCACATTTAAACAACATACGGAAAGTCAGTACCACACAAGTTTTAGCTTTTTGGGATGATCCTCTAGATAGATATCTAATGCTACAGTATCATGTTCTGACTCCCGTAGTTCCCTTTAAATGGTCATAAAACACTCTCAGATTACAAAACAGACAAAATCCAGTGCTCTAGTACCTATTGGCCTTTCACAGAACAAACGTTCACATGGAAAACCCTAATATCACACATGCATTCTTTTCAAGTTTGAGTTCAAAAACCCAAGATGCTGTAAATAAAACAAACTCTCTATCTTTGTTTAAAAAGGCACATTTAGGCATTTTTAAATGTGCTAAATGTTTTGTTTCCAGTCTTAAAAACAAATGGTTTAAATGAAAAGAGCATCTGCAGGAGGTCAATTAATCTTCAGTAGGCAACAGGAACTGCTGTGGAGATGATGGATGAGGTTACTTTTCCGCTGATCCAATATTCTTATAAATATATAAAACTTCTGCAGATCAGCCTTGCAAGGAAGATCTACAAAGCCATCTGCAGGATAAAACTTTTCTGTCAGTTACTTGGGTTTTTTGGTTTTATTTTTCTGTTGACGCTGCTGCCATGGCTGGTTTCATGCCCTCGCGTGTTGACTTCAGCTCCTCCAATTCTGTGTTTAGTTTGCTGATCACCCACTCCAGGGCATCTCGACCCTGCCAGAAAAACACTGGAGTTTAGGATCAGAACAGATAAACCACCACTGCTCGTGTTTCTATAGTTTTTCCTCTGTCAGACATGAGACTAGATTTAAAATTAATTTCATGCCCTGCATACCTCAATACCAGATTATACGGGTAATTTCTTAGCATCTTCTTATGGAAACTTCACTGCAAGGGCTTGTGCTTAAGCAAGAAGTAAATGCAATATTGGTGTGAGCTCCCAGTAGTGCACCTAGGCAAAAAGCCCAATTCAGCAGTTAAGTTCCCTTATGTAAGAGTATTGCTGGTTTTAGAGTTTGCTGCTCCCACCACCCTAACAATATCAGCAAATCTATGGCAAACTCTAGATACTGTTCTCAGATTCATTAACCAAGTTATATGGACAGTTTTTGAGAAGATCCAGACAAAGAAAGAGTCTTCCAAGTGCTCTTTGAAGTAGCAACTAACTGGTTTGATATCTAGCGGGAATCCAGAGATAGACTTGCACTGAATTCTACACTCATGCACAGCCACTTTTCAGCATATAAAACAGATGAATTGAGAGACTACAGTCACACATTTTATATCAAGGCATGGTCTTTCTCTGTTCAATTCTCAGAATGAGAGCACCTCCAATCTGGGCATTGACAGCCAATGCTTTAGTAAGAGCTGGGGAATCCAGCAAAATAAGTATGTCAAAAACCTTTTACCTGAAGAAGACTCTGTAGCAGCTGCACTCCAATGACCACAAGATGAGCATGCAGCCAGCTGCACAATCAAGCCAAGAAAATAAAGAGGGGCACTTTAAGTAAACAAAAGTGCAAGATTTTAGAATCTCAGAATGACAGCTTTTGCCAAAACAAGCAGATAGGATCAGACCAGGAAAACACCTAGTCTTTTTTCACTTAAAGAGAAGCCAAGAGACATTCACCTCTATTACGCTACTAAGAATAAGAAGTACAAACAGTGGAGAGCAGTAACTGGGAGCCACATGGCTCTGGCCAAGTCATAACGAGTTCTGGAGATAAAGGGTCTGAGCCCAAACTTCAGGGGAGCCAGTGTCTGTGTTCAAGTCCTCTGCAGAGACTGAAGGAAAGGGGGAGGACAGTCTTACACACAGAATCACAGATTCTGTGATAACTTTAAAAATAAAAAAAATTTAAAAAAAGGAAAGCAAAGGTCAACACCCCCCCCTCACATACTATTGAAGAATTTTTTTTTGAGGCTAGAAACATTACCCTGAAATAATATTAAAGGCTCAGCTCCAAGTAGCAAAGTGTAACCTATTAAAAGAAACAAAGTTTTAGTATGAATAAGAGCATATTTATCTCAAAACCCTCACTAAATTCAGTAGAGGGCTGACTCTGTTTCTCTTCAGGATTTACATATTACAGGGGCTGGGAGAATAAACAGTACTTGATATGTCTGCACTGGCAGCCAGTCCTTAACCTGAGAAGAATTATCCACATATCACAACAAAGCATCCAACCCTTTGCCAGAGCTCAGAAAGGGGGATTCAGCTCTATCCAGAATTACCTCAAGAATCTTTAAGTTAACTTAGTTCAAGATATGCCTTTTAAAAGTACCAAAAAATAATCAAGAAAACAGAATTTAAATTGTCCAGTGTAAGTATGGGTTGCTGAAAAAAGCTCTGTAGAATATGATCTAACTTCTGAGTTCCTTCTATTTGAGCACCAAATCGTCCATGCTTCAGCAGGTGATTAACTTCCACCCTCTCTACATCCTGTGCAACACCTGGGAACACCAGCAAAGCCTGGATAAAAGCACCCAGGGCAGGAGTAGGCTAGTGCATAACAACAAATTGCAACTAGCCGGGAATTAGCCTAGTGGTGGAGAGCTCCATAAGGAACAAAGCGGGGGGAGAGAGGGGGAATCATCTTTCAGTAAGTACGCATTTGGATATTTAAAAGTCAGGTTAGAATGTCCTCTCTTAGGTGACACAGGCACAGAGAACCGAGTAAGACAGCAACAGCTTAGATGTTTTATTTGTCTAATCGCGCAAAGACGACCTGTCAGGAAGTCAAAGACCTTTGATGTAAGTAATAGTCAGTATGAAAATAGAGATTTTTTTACAGGCCCTGGCTATGAAACAACCAGGTCATAGTGTTTTAGTTGATATATATGTGTTGACAAGATTAAAAAAAAAAAAAAAAAAAGCCACGGCATCCAAGTGGAGCACCAAGGTACCGCCTTCACCTTTTGAGACTACATCGGTCTGCACGTTTCCGTAGACCTGCATACACTATATGCTGTAATTTGCAACTAAGAATAAACTAGTGATATTGACAAGGAAGATTTCAAGAATATTCTGCATGGGAAATTAAGTTACAAATCTCAACAAGATGCAAAGCCTGTACTGTAGAACTACTCAGTTACAAAAAAAAAAAAAATCTGACAGAGGATTGATCTATAAAGTTTCATACGGTACAACAAAATCTGTAGTAAGTCATTAAGCAAGCACATTCATAACCAAGCATGCATATTATATTAGTCTTTATTGCATATGTTAGCAGTATGATGTGTTTGGCAGACCAAACTGCTGCATGTGAAGAGTTGGTAGAGCTTAAGTGACTGATAAATGCTGAGCCTTTGTAGTTGATGTTTTCCAGAAAAACAGCCATAAAAGCTGAGTGGAATGAGAATTAAAAGCAAACACTCATGGCATACACTGATCTCAAAGTAAGCAGTGTAAAACACCCTACATTCTTAAGTAGGAGAAGCAGCATATCGAATTTTTTTCCTTTTTTTTAAAGGAATCTTATTAGTTGAAGCATAAGCCAATACAGGAATGACAGAGACAGGCTACACTGACTAGTGGAAGGAAAACAGTCTGCACAGAGGCTTCACAGAGGCAAGTACACTCAATTCTCTCAACCTTGAAGTCAGATTTTTTCATAGTCACATCGCTTAAGGGACACATCACCACCGAAATGAATATAACTACAAGACCAATGGAAAACACCGACAGTCTGGCATTCTGACAGCTTCAAGCTTTGTACAGATTTCCACTGAAGTTCACAGAAGGGCAACAATATTCTTCAGGCATAAGAAAAGCAAATACAATTTCACTATGCAAAAGATTAGCCCTGTTAGGCAACCTGTTTCAAGAAATCAATTTTACACTCTAAGAATACAATTGTGTTTCATTTTTATAATGCCAATTCCAGTCACTAACCAATTCATTAATGTATTCAGGTTCTAGTTTTACATACTGAAGTCACAGAAACTAGGACCAGATCAGACACTTGCTGGAGGGACTTATCCACATGCCTAGTTATCTGCAGTCATCATTCCACCTCCAGACCATAAGCAAGGCTGTGTGGCACAAGACATGGCTGCAGCAGGTTGGCTGGCCAGTGGCATAAGCAGGGGTTAACTGATCCAGTCTAGATCGGACCTACTCTCACTCTCTACAACTGCAGTGTAATGAACATGTTTGCCATTCCTGTATGCAACGTATATAAAACATACATGCAGCTTAATTCATGAAATTCACATGACAACAATCCATGCACATATTTGCTAGAAAGCTGAAATGCTGTACCAAGAAGAATGCTGGCATTACCACTAGTTAGTAAAAACTGTTGATGTGGAGAACTGCTAGCTTAGAGCGCTTTCAGAATTTTGAATTATCCACTCAATAGCATCCCACCCCTGGAGTAACACAGAAAAGATTTACAAGATATGGCAAATGATTTCATCATCATTACAAATAATAACACATCATCTGCCACTTCTACCTCAGAGCAAAATCTCAATAATTACTTCCTATTTCTTCAGAACAACAAAACATTTTTCAGCAACTTTCATGAAGTTTAAGGTGGGTGCTAAGAACACAGAGGCACAGCACAGCATGCGAGAAGAGCTAGTAATAGCAGAGTAGGTTACTGGCTAGCAAAGAAAGGACTGGTAACAGCAAGCACAAATTCCTGCCAAGTTCAACATCTCTAATGAGACTCTTCAGTGAGGCACACAGGACAGGAAGGTGTTTTTTATTTGCAGGAAGCTTGTGAGCCAGTGTATTCCTTGAAAATGGGAGAACAAAAGACCAATCTTTAAAAGAAATTGAGCTCACACAGGCAGCACCTGAACAGGTACCAAGAAATATTTACACTCTCTGAGTTCAGTAGAGACATGCAAATGTGACAGACGCCATGAGAGGAATTCAGCCAGCACTTTTAAGTGTGCCTAGTTGATCTGGCCATTCCAACTCGCTAGTGCTTTGCTACCTCTGAGTTTGCCCGAAGTTTGGTTGTGAGCCAGAGTTTGGACTTCTCTTTCAAGAATATATGCCTCATACAGGCTTCTGAATGGAAACTGGATCTAAACAGAATTGTAAATTATCTGAAATACATTTCATTTATGACTTTCAAACAAACATAGAGAGCGCTCAGCTAGTTAAAGTTACTCCTCAGTGTCTAGAAGTTACTCATCACTCCTTCCTCATTCCCCGATTTTAACCTATTTTCCTCTCATTTTTGGAAAAGCACACAGAAAAAAGGAAAAGGAGATTTTCTCCTCTCTGATCTAGTTGGTCAATACCTCCTACCAAGTTGGCTTATACCACCTTGGTCAAGCAATATCTCTCACAAGGACAAAGGGCCAGCCAAAGCACAGACTCTCTGGCAGAGTGGGAGTTACCTGGGCCAGATTCCTACTGTGCTGAACCTCTCCAACAACGCAGAGCACAAACTGAAATTTCAGGTGCACTCATCTTGCTGTTAGGCAGTGACTCCAGCAACCCCTTTTCTTCTCTACCCTCCCCAAAGAAGGATAGGACAAAGTGCCAGAGAATAAGCACTCCTGTAACTCTGCCTGTGCTGAAGTCCAGCTCCATGGCTGCAAGCCAAGTAGAAAAAGCAAGCACAAGACAGAGGAGTCGGTGTAGCGTTACCTATGAAAGCCAGCATAGTTTTACCTCTTCAAAGAATATGCCTCTGCTTACACTACATTACTTTCAGTCAAAGGCAAGGAGGCAGCTCAATAATGGACAGGAACTGGAACAACTGACAAAGCAGCACAAAAAAATACGCTGGCATTAACTGCTGAATCCAGATTATAAAGGCTGGAAAGGAACTTATATTTACTACTAGCACTAACACCTGAAAATTCGAGGTTAGTGTTTAAAAAGGTGCTTTGGGAAAAAAAAAAACAACAAAACCAACTAATATGTATGTGTGATATGTAACTAGCATACTCATAGAAGTTTGTTCTGCTGTGCACTTCTAGTTGAAAAACAGAGTTTTAGTAGTGAAACTTTTTCATACTTTGGGAAATTATATTCTACTTGCCAAGGTCCTACCACAAAAAAAGTATCAGTTGAAACTCTATGCACAAAGTTTAGTGAAATTAAATACAGTATTCAGCACATGTGGTTGACAATTACTATTTCAACAAAAAGAAAGGTAGGGGTGGGGAGAGAGAGGGAGAAAACAGAATAAAGATGTACCTTTCTGGCATTAGAAGATATTGTGCTTGCCATTAAGCTTTCCAGATAACTGCTCAAACTAATGCCTTTAACAGTAATAATTGCTTCTTGAGTTAGCACAGTTCTGTAAGAGAATAAAGAAAAGTTAATACCTAAATTGAACTGGACTAACATAATGTCTCCTATAAACAAAGGAGCACACAAATATCCTTACTTACTTTTCAGGGTTTTCAGGATGAGGTGTGTAAACCAGTCTCTCATCAACAGACACCAAGTTTGTGAGAGTAATCTTAAAAAGAAAAAAAAGAGTTGAAATCCTCACTTTCTGCCTTTCATTCTCCTCTTATCAACAGCACTACTCAATAGCAGAGCAACAAAGCAGTGTACACAGAATATAAAACCTGGAACAGTCAATAAAAAGACCTATAAAGGGTGATGCATCTTCTCCTATCCTAGATCTAATTATATCAAGCTAAGTTCCTATTCACAGTACAAAGTACAAGCAGCTTTTCATTTGTTTTCTCTTAATGCTGTCTTCTCTGGTTTATAGCATGAGATTCCAAGAGGCTCTTCAAGACCAAGACCACCATTACACTATTGGGAATATACAGAAAATTAACACTCAGGAAAGACAGTGCCTCTTGTACAGTGACAAGGCTCTCCTACAGACAGCCTCACTTTAAATCTGATAGCTAAAAGTTCCCAGGATACCAAATTAGAGCATAATTCTTCATCTACATTTTGTGAAAAAAGGCATTTCAAATTAAAACTTCTGTTGTGAATGACAGTGTAATGTAGAACAAATTATTCAGCTAAAAGACTATTTTACATGCATTCTGAGACATACATTAAAAACAGAATCACAGATGTTTGATCCCAAAGTATTTAACGCACCCTATTTGTGGGAAGAAGGAGGAGGGGGAAAAAAAAAAAAAAAGAGCTAAGATGCCAACTAAGACATGGAAATTGCCACCTCCTGATGAAAGATGCAAACACATTTCTCATGTTAAGAGCAAAACATCTAATCTCCAGAACTAATTACCAGAAACCTCTTAAGCTACCACTCACATTAGTTGAGCAAAGCTCCATCTTTTTTTCCACTGGATCTACCACAGAATGTTCCTCAATGTAAGTCAGAGTTCTACTTGTTCCTAAAATCTGAAAGTGAAGAAATAAAAAAATGTTTAAAAGTACTAAGATTTAAATAAAAAACCTGAAATGCATTAATGACCCCAAATAAATACGAAGTAGTTAATGGATACCAGAGCACAGTGGTAAGGCTACATCCTGATAGGTTGTATCCATTACGTAGCATGACACAGACTACCTGGAAGGCACGTAGAGACATAGACACACATGGGTATTAAAGCCCACAACATATTCTCACTATTATATATGCTAATTACAGCTTATGTGATATTTGTGGATGATATTTCCTATAAATTAAGTTTTTACTTTGAATTCAGCTCCAATTCAGATGGTAACACAAAAATGCACCCTTAATAAACGATGAAGACTATAAAAGTGTACCGCTTTTACGATGCTTGGCAATCCCCACTCCGTGCTGAGAAGTCGGTGACTATGCAACCTCCCCTGGTTATCAAGGCTTCTGTCAAGGACATCTACTCCTACCACACACGGATTCATTGGGTTGGGGTACTTTCTCATAGCAGCTTTGATCACCGTATCCCAGGGGTGTCTGTAAAAAGGAGACAATACTTGTAACTATTTTGTATTTAATTGCAAGTATTCAGCCAACACTAAACTACGGATCTAGCTTGCCTAATATGGCATGTACTGCTCAACTTCGAAGCTCCCAAAAGTCCTTTCAGAATTCAGTGATGCTTCAAAAGGCAATAGGAAAGTATTGATACACAAACAGAAAAAAAAAAAAAATCCCTTTCCCCAGCAGGAAGAAAGGAATTATTAACCCAAGACTAACAGAAACAAGGGCAAGGGGCAATAGTCACAAATTGCTACAAGTGACATTCCAATCAGCTGTGCAAAACCACCACAATGACAGGGTAGCTGTCCACAGAGGTTGTTGAATCCTGATCCATTTCAAAACTCAACCGGAAAAGCAACCTGACCTAACATTTAAGTTAGCTCTGGAAAGGGGGCTGGATTAGACAACCTCTAGTAGTCTACTCCAACATAAATTCTTCTATAATTTAGAATTATAGAATAAATATACCAAGTAAGAATAAACACCAAATAAATCAAAGAAAACACCATTAGCTTCTGTTTCTTCCTATAGTAAAAAAGCAAACTGAAATTTAATTCAACTAAAAAAAAAAATCAGGAAGTTCAAAATCAAGAAACAGACTTTCAGACACCAGATCAGCTCACTGCCATATGTCTGCACCTGCACTACTGATTCCAGCAGCTTGGTAGCATGAATTACATTTACAGACACTCTTCCCAATACAGAACTGTTTTTGTGAAACCAGTTTTGATAATCTCAAACTCCTGGGATCAGAGCAGCCCCGGTACTGGAGGACAGGCTGTTTACATGGCTCTTCATATATCTTCTGAAACAGAAGAGGCTAGAGAAATCATGCACTTGATCCAATACAGAAATTCTGTCCCTAAGCAATGATTTCTGTATTCAGAGTAACTGATAGATGTGGAACAAAAGGTTTGTATCCTTTAAAGGTACCTTTAAAAATTAAACTATTGATACCTAATTTAAGAAGGCTTAAGGGTGCCAACTTGTGCATAGGAGCTGCACTTAAGGCCCTAAATGGATTTGATTTTTAAGAACGCTAATTTTGGTCTTAAAATAGACCAGTACACAAGGGCAGCAACAATACACCACTGCCAGAACAAACGGAAGCTTGGAAAAATAAGTTATTTTTCCATCAAGAAGAGTAAGAAAAGGTCTTTCAGCTTTATTGGTGCAAGAAGGAAAAATAAAGCCCTTAATTCCTGTATCAGGAGAGCTGGAGGGCCATTCCTTCTTATCTTCAGAGACTACACATCATAATCAACAGAAGATACGCAAACTGAAAAGGTCAAATTTCTGTTAAGTGTCCTTGAGGGATTTTAAGAGTCAAAGATCTGATAAGGCACAAGGTTTTATTAACCCCTGAAATGATCTACACCTGCGCACTGTAATATGGGGGTGTTCCAATACAGACCTCGATGAGAAAATGCCAAATAAAAATCGATTGTGTTTCCCAGATATTCATCTCAAACTCCGAAGTTATGCCATACACAAGCAGCCTTTACTAGCCTCTGCCTGTCATTTCACATTAGAAGCTACAGTTCACTTACACCAGACTGATGTTAAACACCTAATACCTATGTCAGTGTAATGAATTCAGTTGTGTTAAAAGTAATTAAAGAAGTGCAAAACTGCACATCTGGGATATTCTGGAAATATTTTAAGAACTGTCACCCCCGGTGCTCTTCAGGTTTCAAGATTTTTGAGAGACCTGTAACAGATGAGTTATTGGTGGCATTGTAAGCTCTGCATTAGAACTGCTGCGTCCTCCACGTCAGCTCCGTGGCACAGCTTGTTACACACCTGTTGATACTTTTACCTGTTGTCCCCTGCTTACACAAAAGTGGAATCGGATGACCACAACTATGTTCAAAATACGTTCAATGCAGAAAAGGACTGACGGTAAGAAAACTTACTCAGCTATCACTCAGCGGCTGTCTGCTAGGCATCTCTGTGAGAGTATCTGACGGCTAAAGTAAGATACACTCTGTCCATACCTCTTGGAATATATCAAGTACGTCAGCAGTTTGGGATTTTTTTTTTTGTAGTGTGAAAGTTATTTTTCCGTAAATACCCGCAGCTTTATCAAGCAATTACCCTGCCGGGCCAGCTCTACCACTGCCTGTTGGAATGGTATTTCCCGCCGCGAGCAGCAGGAGGTGGGAGAAGCCCTCGCACGGAGTCCGACCACGCACGAAAAAGCTTCAAGCGACGAAGGCTGGGCGGCGGGGGCAGCGCTGACGCACCGCCGGGACCGTCCGCAGCCCACCCCCCTTCACCGGAGGATTTAAGGCCGCCGGGAGCCGGCGCCTCCCTCTTCCCCCTCTCCCCGGCTGCCGGCCGAGCCCTGGTGCCGGTATAACCGGTCATGAGCCACGGCGGCTGCCAGCCAGCCTCCTCCGGTCGCGCCCGCGGCATTTCCTAGTTCCGCCCGCACCCCGCCAGGGCCCGGCTTC